CAATCTAGAATTTGAAGATAAAGTATCACCAAGGTGTATTTCAATAAACAATATTTTAGAGAAAAAAACATAAATTGTGCTATATTGATATCATATTTATATTACTTAATCTATAAGTTTAAATAGCACATTAATCCTTTGATAGAAAGGCCAAGTAAACAATTTCTTCATTAGATTTATAATAATGTCATGTCAAAATAAATAATAATATGACTGCCTTTAGAACAAATGGCCATTACTACATGCAGTTCATTTTATTTGATTTTATCTCTCCCTGTGGGATGGATGTTCTTAATGCAGAAGTATTTAACTGACAAGAATTTGAAGTTCAGCATCTACCCTTTTGTAATGTCATATATCAGAAACCATTAAAGTACTACAATACACTAGGAGTGCTCATAAAAGAATATGTGATATACTCTTTATATATAATTATAATTAAAAATAGCCAGTCTGATCTTGCTGTCTTTATGTACCTGAAAATTAAATGTAGAATTTATCAATACACATATTTCAGCTTCTATATTTAATAAAGAAATATTCTTACATAAGTAAGTAAATATGTATAAAGATTGCATGAAACATGATGCATGAGTTTAAAACATAGGTACACAAATATTAAAATAAATAAATGGCTCCATTGTTTTTTCTTGATGTGTGGCAATAATAAATTACGAATGTTATTTATACTACTGTATGGATGCCAGTATTGACTGTCAATGATTTATATGTTACATGTTAATTATGGCCAAAAGATCTGATATTCACCATCGTCAGCATTGTAAACAATTGTAAAGAAAGCTTAACTAGAATTTTATAAGCCAGCATACTCTTCTGTTTTTCCGAACATCAAGTTTTAATCTAGATTTTCAAGTTTTCTGAATTGACCATCAAGAAAATTCAATATATTTGTGTGACACAGACACAATACATAAGTTATATGCACTATCAAAAATAACATGTAGTTCATAAGTTATTGGCTATGAAACACCTAGTGGAGTGGACCATCAAATGGCTGTCAGAGTAATGAGTATTAGCAGATTTTCTTGTCCAATTAAAAACTACATATCAGCCTTTCCTATAATCCTTCCAATCTGTTCCTAAGGCTCTAAAATGATACTTGGTGGATTTCTGGCTCTGAGTTTGACCTAAGCTAAGGGAGACTAATTCCTCTGCATAACAACTTGACCAATCAGCTTCTGAGGTCACCACCGGACAGAAATTGTATAGTTTCTAAAGAGGCACAGAAATCTTGAACATACTGATTTATTTTTAGCACAATTGACAATATATTAGCTAAACTAGGATTGAGATTTGAATTGTGTTAATAAGCAATCATCACCCATGTTTCTCTTGCCACTTAAGAGAGTGGTTATCTGATCACTTAATAGGACTTTCTCACTCAGCAACTGTCCTCAAAATTCCTTGCTTAAGTTTAGCTATTTTCTTAACTATTAAAGTGTTTTCTTCACTTACTACCTCTATAGAACTTCTTTACGTCAGTGTAGTCAGATACATTGTATTTCTTTTAGTGCATTGCCATAGTCTGCAACAGCTTTTAAATGGCAGTTAACGTTAAATCATCTGTTTTTATTTATGTATTTATTTATTTATTATTTTCTGTCAAAGGTCTCTCTCCAATTCATCACTTTTTAATGTGCACTCCTCTTCTGTTGTTACACATTGAGCAATCATGACATAGTTACCTCACTAGAATTTATTAAAAACAATAAATTATTCATAAGATTGTATTTTACCATACTGATTAATGTAATTTTAGTATAAAAATTCAAACATTATTAAATCAATTCTGCATAATATAATAACTCAACAGGCACATAATTTATTTATTTGTATATAGGCATTCAGAGATGGTTTATAAAATTGGAAGCCAAGGTCTGATTGGCAGCTTATCACTGAAAAATTATTGTGGATATCAAAATTTACCTTTTATGAAAATAAGGCAATCCAAATATTGATCTTAGATATAAGCACTCACAACTCTATTTGGTGACAAATGTTATGTTTTATTATAATTGGTCTTCAATCAAAGTAATTGAAAACATGTTGACATGGGGTCATGCCCATTAGGGGAATAGAATCGACGCTATTAGAACATATTTTTATAAGTGACTACTATTCCCACACTTCTTATATAACATCCTATCCAAACTGATTCTTTGGTTTTCAGTATATTTGTATTTACTTAGTTATTTTAAACATAATCTCATCTAAATTAATTAGTTCTGAGGATGTTTAATTGCATAGTAATAGGGATTTTAAGCACCAATTGCCAAAAAAGTTTTGGTTTCGAAGAGTAATAAGCATTTAATTTTATAACCCCTCTTAGCACTTTCTATAGTTAACTGTCTAAGATATTTGCTTATTTAAAAGATCTTTCAAAACGCTTTCTTCCCTCAATGGCATAGTAGGATATATATCCATAGGTTCCCATGTTGTATTGGCCAGTATAATACTGACGTAAAGACATATCAAAACGGAGACATGCATTTCATTCAATACATTGTACTATCTAAAGAAAGGAGCACAGAAATGCACGAGCAAACAAAATTTCACAGAGCAGTATTTGAATAGCAGCCTATTTATGAGATAACTTATCTTTGCAGTCTAATGAAGTATTCACTTAACCTATAATAAATATGTATAATCAAATGTAAATTTTATTTATTGATATATTTGCTTCCGCGAAATCATAAACTATAGTAGAGTTCAACACTAGTAGAATATTTCCCTCAGTGGCCTACGCCTACTTCATCCATACGAGTGCATAGACATATGCGTGTGTATGTAATAACACAAACATATGCAAACACTCACATATTCAGATACATGAACACACAGAATTGATATTTGTTAACAAATAATATGCATAATAAATGTATGGAAATTTTAAAAAATATAAACAGGATATCTATATCTTAGCCATATTTTTCTCCTAAATATATATAACATTTATTTATAAATAAACATTTGGCTATGTATAGAGACCATTAATGGACTAAAGTCATATGTTTGTGTGCATGTGTGTTTATGCACTCATGCATGTGTACATGCATGTATGTGTATATAATCCTAAACAAGGCAACTGAAACATTTACTATCCTTATTTCTTTCCTCTAGGGTGATGTATATTTAAGGTGGGAAATATACTTATTTTTCATTTGAAATAAACTTAGTTATTGGCATAATAGAACAAAATGAGAAAAATCAATATCAAATAACAAGTTGATTTTCAACTAATTCTAAGATCTTCTACCAGTCCAATAATGTATACTTCTATATATGTACATTTTTGTCCCACCACTTTTATTACTAGATGAATAAACATTTTTCTAAATATTTAGCAATATCTTAGAACTAAAAGAGTATGTCTCATACTCATTTTAAGTCATAGTGTTATTTGTATTATCTTTCAATTTCTATTTTTACTTTATTAACTATATGTTACAATCTATTATATTCTATAATTATAATGCACATAAAGGTATGTGAGGCAAATGTGATAACCACTGCACTATGGAAACTGCTAACATATAAGGGTATGTATGTATGCATGTGTATATTCTTCATTTCTATATCCATATCTGTACATATTCTTTATCATTTTCTTATTAAGTTATAAGAAGGAAAAAGTTAAGTAGTATGTCTGAGATACATTCTTGACAGTATACTTACATGTTGGAGCACCCCAGGGAAAGAAAAAAGGCAAGTGACCTAGTCAAATTATCTTGTAGACATGATAATGACCAAACTCTTCGCAAACAATCTAGTGGTATTAGCTATTGAGAAAGTGCTTGTCTATAGCACCTTTTTAGTTGAATGTACCTCATTGTCTAAGACAATGGTGAATAAATCTGTAATCTGTAGACTTATGGAACAGAGTTCCTTGAAAAATGAGTTGTATGCTATGTAATTATAAGGGTATAAAAAGGTATTTATGATCAAACATGGCTATCTTTTATGTTAGTTATCTGGCTTATGCTGTTTACTTGAAGATCGTATATGTTAATTTGATTTATAGTGCATCTGATGTGATCAGAAAGGACCTACAAACCTGCTGAAATATCCTATATTTCTTCCTGCTTCATCTGTCTCATAATTATGAAATTTTAAAATTTTTGAAATTATGAAATTTTACACTAATTTGTTACTGAACACTTGTCTAAATTAAAAATGGTTTTATATTTAACCAAGTTTTTAGTAACAAATTGGTTGTCAATAGGATGTGCCTTTTGTGGTTTTGGGATTATGTTACTATAACAAACTCTATAATGCATTATTGAGTAATCTTCATTTGCATTTTGTCATGATATGATATGAAGATATGATATGATATAATTTTTTTGGCCAGGAAAAAAATTGAATAAAATAAGAATTCATATTTTTCCTAAAAAAATTTGTCTTTGATGTTATTCTCAGTTAATATTTTTTACATAACACAATATTTGAGGGCTGAAGATTTTGTTCATCAGGAAAAAATGCTAATTCAAGACATAGAAATTACCCCAATGTAATACAATTGTGTGTGTGTGTGTATGTGTGTGTGTAGCTAACAATTTATGTGGCAACCAAAGTCAAATAACATATAGAAAAATTCCAATGAATCATTTACCTTCTTTGGCAAAGAATTAAAAATAATATGAAAACACAGAAAATAATATATTTGAAAATATCATCTAATGTGTGTAATACTCTGTATTTGTTGGAAACAGAGAGGGTTTATTTAAATTTTATAGGAGTATTGAAAGCAGCTTTTTTCTATTATGAGTATAAATAATGGATAATCAAAATAATAAGAAAAGCAGTTAATTTATCTTTAATTATTCAATCACATCGTTGTAGAAAAAGTGAGGACATTTTAAAATGTGTTAAAATAACAGTATATGATGAACATGGAGTACAAATAAATAAAAACTATTGCTTTCTTTCATTGTATTATAGCAAACACTTGTACACAAATTATATGTAAACATACTAACCTGTTTTAGGATCTACGGAGAAGTAGGGTTGTCCCTGGAGAATACTGTAAACCACCCGGGCACTGTTTCCATAGGTAGGATCATCTGCATCAGTAGCTGTCACCTGTAGAACAGAGGTACCTGTGCATTCAGGAAAACAAATTTTAGTGTGTGATGGCATTTAGCACATGATTAATTTGAACAATGGAGAACTATAATGGTTGTGTCCTACTAAATTTAATTCTTAAATTTATGCATAAAACATAGTCTTTGCTGTCTTTTCCTGCCATCAACTGTACTAAAAGAGAGTCCAAATAGAATATTTGGTCTCAAATCTTTTAATACGGTTTTATATGTGCTGATAACATTCTGAAGGGTTTCTTCTAACCTTCACATAACCATGGTTTACTTGGATTGTCACTCATAAATCAAATGTGCATTAAGCATGCACTTAGATCAAAAGTATGGTGAAGGTATATAGTGCATGCTTTATGACTATTCAGAAGACTGGAGGTGGAATGGTTTGTGATTAATGTAGAAAGGTGGGTGCATTGACATTACATTATCAACAGCATCAAAACAGCCCATTCAAGTGATTTTCTGTCATCCACATCCTTTTTATTTCTTACCTAGAATATTAGTGTTTCATTACTGGTCTCCTATGTTCAAATATCATTCCTTTCCTGTCTTCTATACAATATCAACATAATTATTTTTCTAAAATGAGTGTCATAATATGCCTATTGCACTGGATTTTTGAAGATTAAAATAAATTTTTCAAGTAATTTATAAACTTTAAAATGTATATTTTGAGGTATTAAAATTAGTGACTATATTAGGTTGATTTCTTTATGCTTACAATTGAAAATCCAGTTTGCATAATTAGTTACATCTAAATCATATTTCAATTATTCCTAAATGAAAACTAATCTAAGTGGAACATGACAACCATATATTAAGAGCTACATAAGTTCATTGTAGAATTAGTGGGTAAGAGCTCTCATTTATTTATGCAAAAAATGCACTTGATGAATCATCTAATACTCACACTGATATTTTATTCTGTATATCTAGAAAAATTCCACTTACTAATTTGAATTATCTATGAAGCAAAAATATTTTCACAGTCAAATGAAAATGTATGAAATTTTGTGTTCATTTTGGCATTTTAATTTGGAAGAACTAACAAGGATCGTTTTTTTTTTAATTTTAGTAATTATTTCAATGATGTAGAATCTAATTGTTCAACTACAAAATGTATACTTCCATATTGAAATTTAGACACAGGCTTTAGGAAAGCTTGCTCTACGTCTTCAAGAGATCCTAGAAAATGTAACAGAATTAATATGCCAAAGTCACCTAACAATCCTTATTAGCAGAATGTAACTGTACATGACTTTTAAAAACATACTATGATTCTGGCCCCTAAATAGTATTTTTACATTGAGACTCTAAGAAAAAATATGACTTGTAATTGTCTGTACTCAGAAAGGAAGAGTTGTGTTATTACTAAAAGTGATTTCAAACTACAGAATAATAAAACACAATGGTGACGCCACATGCTGGTGAGAATGCTGAGAAACTGGATCACTTCTATACTGCTAGTGGGAATGTGAAAGTTTGTCAGTTTCTTATAAAACTAAACACACATTTCTATACAACCCAAAAAATTATACTTGGGCACTTATACCAAGGAAATAAAAACTTATGTTCACATAAAAGTTTGTTCTCAAATGTTCACAGCAGCATTGTTCTTATTAGCCCCAAACTGGAAACCATACCTATGTCCTTCAATGAAAGAATTGTTAAACAAACTGTGTTGAATTCGTAGTATTAAATATCACTCAACAATGAAAATGAATAGACTATTGATACATGCAACAACTTGGATGAATCTTCAGAAAATCAAGCTAAGTGGAAACAAAAAGCCAATCCCAAAATATTTTATACTATGATTCCATACATATAACATTTTTGCAGTTATATACTTTAGCAATGATAACAGACTAGTAGTTTCCAGAGGTTTGGAAGAGGAATTGGAGACAGGAGGGTTTGGTTATAAAGGGAAATATGAGGGACCCTTACGACTGGGAACTGTTCGGTATTTTAATTATAGTGGTGGATATGTAAATATAAACAGGTGACATAATGGTATAGAAATAAGCATACTCATACACACATGCAAATTTACACAAGTAAAAGTAGGGAAATCCAAATGTGATTGGTAGACTGTAGCATTTCAATAACCTGGTTATGATATTGTTTTATAGTTTTGCATGATGTTACCATTTCAAAAAAGTCTGTGAAGGAAACAAGAAATCTCTCAATATTTTTCTCACAACTGCATGTGCATGTACAATAATTTCAAAATTACAAGTCTTAAAAACAAACATGTATTCTTGCTTCACTGCTAGTCTATTCTTAGAGAGCTTTATTTGAGCTGTGTGTAACATGAGTTTTTTCAATATAGCACTGAACTTTCTGGCTTGGTTAAATCAGTATTCACCATTAACTTTCCAGGGCTAGTCACATATAAACTATCTCTTCCACTATTAAGTATAATTATTATAATTTTAGCATATTAAGGACTTTTTATGTGATGGCTCAACACTTGACCAATAACCAATATTCATCTCTCCAACTTGTTCAGAGAATACCACTAGGTAGACATTTACAAATAAACCTTTGTTTTAAAGGCATATTCATTGGTACCTCACAGATAAAATAAAATGAAATAAATCTGTAGTTAGGTACCCAGGTAAGACTCACAGTATATAACAAGCTCATAATGTGGTTAAAATATTACAAAATTAAATCAGCTAAATATTTGATCTGATAGGAAAACATGTTAATAGTTCTAGGCATATATGAATTGCTGGGATTCAGGAAAGAGAAAGCACTATAGAAAACAAGAAAATAATGGCCATTAAGAAACCAGGCTTATAAAATCCTCAGGTTTCGGACCTAACTCTGGCCCTGAAATAGCGATTTTGCCTAAATGGTTTTTAATATCTAAAGAGCAGTCCCTGGGCAAACATGCCATGGAAAAAGCTGAGAAAGACAAACTGTGCAAGATCACACCTCATTTGCTGGGATAGATTGAATGGCCACATGAAAGAAAAAGAGTTGTTCCATTTAGCTTGAACTTTCTATGAAAGTCCAGCCTTTTTAAGAGAGAGTTGGGATGCATGAAAGCAGTGACACATGAAATAAGGAACAAGAAGAAAAGGACTAAAAAGAAGAAGGGTAGTGTGGCGGTATCGACTAAGTGATGGTTTAAAGTAGCAGAGGGAAGTGAGCAAAGCAGAGAAAAAGAAAATGTAGTAACTCTCTACTCTGTTTCAAAAATATGGTCATGAACAGATGTATGCGTCTCTGTATAGTATGTCTGCACAGGTATTGGATAATTCTTTTTGTGTTTGAAGCAAAGAGTAGCAGATCACCTACTGTACTGTACTTTGGTGGTGCCCAAAGGCATGAAGGTAACACTGTGAGTACACAGATTTGTGGCTGAAGGGAGCATACAAATATGAATAGCAGAGCCCAGCTAAAAGCCAACCTGCCGGAGAATACAGCAGGAGTGGAGATAAACAGCAGGGATGGAAAAGAAATTCCTTGCCCAATTGTTTAAAGGCATTTTACTAAGGAGGATTGCAAAGAGATTTTCAGACTGAAAGGAAAATATATTCTTAACTTACTTTCTTGTTTATTTGAAATCCAGTTGGAAAATTTATAAGACTCATTGGTACTTTCAGTAGTTCTTTACATTAAAAATAAATCCCTTTTTCTCCATTAATGTTCATGTTCCCCCCAAATTCATATATTGAACATCCTAATCCCCAGTGTCATTTTTTGGGGGGTGGGGTCTTTGCAAATACCCCATAAGGGCAGAACCCTCATGAATGGGATTAGTACCTTTATAAAGGAGGCACCAGAGAGTTTTCTCATCCCTTCTGCCATATGAAGACACAGCAAGAAAATGGTCTTCTATGTACCAGGAAGTGGGCCCTCAGCAGACATGAAATCTGCTGGCACCTTGATCTTGGACATCCTGTACTCCACAACTGTGAGAAATAAATGTTGTTTAAGCCACCTAATCTATAGAATTTTGGTATAGTAGCAAAAATGAACTAAAACAATAAATAAATAAAGAATACATTAATATAATAAAACTCATCAAAGTATATGTCATGGGTTGAATTTCATCCCACAAAATTTATATGTTGAAGTCCTAACCCTCAGACTATGACCTTCTTTGGAAATAGCATTATAACTAAATGTAATTAACTATGAAAAGATCATACTGGAGTACTGTGGACCCCTCCCTGGTAACGTTCTAAAAATGGAAAATTTGGAGACACCTTGATCTCAGATTTCTGGCTTTTGCAACTATGAGACAATAAATTTCTGCTGTTAAAGCCACCGAGTTTGTGGTACTTTATTAATAGTATGATAGCCTTAGTAAATGAATACTGTGTTACATTTTCAGTGGGAAGAAATAAGATTTATTCTCATAGTTTACAGTTGCTTTTTAACTGAATCTGGGCAAGAATATGGAGTTACAAGTCAAGAAAAAATGTATAATTTCTTATGCTATTTGGAACAGGTTACATCATAAATGAGATGCAACCAAAAGTTATCCCCACATGTATATTAAACCAGGTAGAGATTAATATTTGATGTTATTTGAATATCAGCCACTTCTAGTGATCTACCTGTTGATATTTTAAAAGTAAATTCATGCATTATATTGATCATTTTAATGAAGAAAAAATCTCCCATATTAGACCATTCAATTGTTATTCATGCTATTTGCCCAAATTATGTACATAGTAGGAAGAAAAAATTATTATTTTCTACAGTGCTAGACTTTGAAATAGAAATATATATGTAATGCTGAAAATTCTACTATTCCACAAGAATATTATAATAGATATCTATTTTTCTCTGGAAATTATTATATGGATTTGATCAATAGATATTAAACCAACAGCCCCACTCCTAGATAACTGATTTTCCATCCAAAAAACCAAACCAAAACAAAACAAAAATACTTTCAAAAGTGCTGTAGAAGTATTCTTACAGAAATATTGTATTTTGAAATTCCATTAGCTTTTTGGTATACAATATTTTCTCTTTTT